TCTCTCTCTCTCTCTCTCTCTCTCTCTCTCTCTCTCTCTCTCTCTCTCTCTCTCTCTCTCTCTCTCTCTCTCTCTCTCTCTCTCTCTCTCTCTCTCTCTCTCTCTCTCTCTCTCTCTCTCTCTCTCTCTCTCTCTCTCTCTCTCTCTCTCTCTCTCTCTCTCTCTCTCTCTCTCTCTCTCTCTCTCTCTCTCTCTCTCTCTCTCTCTCTCTCTCTCTCTCTCTCTCTCTCTCTCTCTCTCTCTCTCTCTCTCTCTCTCTCTCTCTCTCTCTCTCTCTCTCTCTCTCTCTCTCTCTCTCTCTCTCTCTCTCTCTCTCTCTCTCTCTCTCTCTCTCTCTCTCTCTCTCTCTCTCTCTCTCTCTCTCTCTCTCTCTCTCTCTCTCTCTCTCTCTCTCTCTCTCTCTCTCTCTCTCTCTCTCTCTCTCTCTCTCTCTCTCTCTCTCTCTCTCTCTCTCTCTCTCTCTCTCTCTCTCTCTCTCTCTCTCTCTCTCTCTCTCTCTCTCTCTCTCTCTCTCTCTCTCTCTCTCTCTCTCTCTCTCTCTCTCTCTCTCTCTCTCTCTCTCTCTCTCTCTCTCTCTCTCTCTCTCTCTCTCTCTCTCTCTCTCTCTCTCTCTCTCTCTCTCTCTCTCTCTCTCTCTCTCTCTCTCTCTCTCTCTCTCTCTCTCTCTCTCTCTCTCTCTCTCTCTCTCTCTCTCTCTCTCTCTCTCTCTCTCTCTCTCTCTCTCTCTCTCTCTCTCTCTCTCTCTCTCTTGTGCTAACCTCTTTTCCCTTGATCTCCTTGCCTTCTTCTCTCACCTGAATTTCATCAGTTCCACCTACTGCTTCCTAACACTAAATGGTAGATTGATCATGGTACCATGATACCCCATACCATACAAATTTTATTTCCCCTCTGCAAAAATAACCCCACAAATACCGCCCCCTGCGTCCAGCAAGGCCACATGGCAGCCATCTTGACAATCCATGTCCCACCACTTATCAACGGCAGAAGACACAGTGTAAGGGGATACATTCCAGTTTGTGCAATTAGGAAGTAATTGCTGCTTGTTCCGTACTAACCCCTAGAAGGACGGCAGTGTTCAGAGCGTGTGCACACAAGACGGGAAAAAGTCAGGTTTTCATTCTTATTCGATATGCAGTTGTTTCAGCTAAGATGCTCTACTTTGGAGATTTATATGATAGTTTGGAAATCTTTTTTGGGGAGAATAACTTCTTTTGTGTTTCATCCAGTGTGCGTACATACACTTGCCATGTTACATCCGTAAGGGGTTACAAAAAAAAAAGTTTAAATAAAAAAAAATTAAAAATAAAAATAGTAAAAAAAAAAAGTTGCTCCATAATTGTGCAGAATTTTGACTCCCAGAAGTTCTTTCGCTGAAATATTCTGAGGATAGTTGTAACTTGAAAAATGTAGTAGGTCAAGTGAAACCATTTTGTTTTTATTTTTTGAAAGAATTTTGGAATGACAGAAACAGGGTATATCTGCATGAAAGTACTAGGTGGTCAAAAGAAAGAGTTTCCCCATTTTTGCTGTGTGTCTGTCTCCATGTGCCCATAGACCAAAGTTTCATACAGTTGTACAGTCAATTGCATTTGCCATTAATTTGTGCCACTTTTTTTTTTTTTTTTTTTTTTTTCACCTTTTCTTTTTTTTCTATCATTTCTCCCCCCTCTTGTTGTGTGCATCTCAATGATATAATTTTTTATCTCCATCTTATGGCATTACTGTCAATGTAATTTTTTTTTTTTTTCTTTTTTTTTTTTTTTTTTTTCTTTTTTTTTCTCTTTTTTCTCTCTTTTTTTTTTTTTTTTTTTTTTTTTCTTTCTTTTCTTCCTTTCTTGTGTAAATTGTTAGACAGAAGGTCACAAACTATGCATAAACAGGTCCAGAGGTAGGACATTCTTGAGAATACTCTTGAAATTCAAAAGAAAAAAAGTCTTTCAATTCTTGTTGGGAATATTGCGAGAGACCGTGTTAGTATTTAAAAAAAAAAAAAAAAAAAAAAATTGAAAGTGCAGCTTTTTTTTTTTTTGCAGATTTCTTCATGGCACAAAGTTAAGGTAATAATTAATGTATTGGTTTTCCTTTTTTCATGAAAGTTGAGTAAGCTACATGCAGTAACGAGAAATGTTAATTTTCAACGAATGGGAAAGAATCTCAGTGCATGAAATAATTAAGGACTAGGGAATAAGACTATATAGAATGTACACTATAATGTAAAAAGATGATAATGACTCTCTTATTGTCAGTGCCTAGTCGAGAAATCTGCTGATGGGTTTTGCATTACTAATTTTTGATACAAATTGTCACTAAAATCAAACAATGATTAATAATGATGATAATAATTCAGCACAATTAAAAGGAGTCACATTTTGAATGTTTGTGCTTGTTCTGTCTTTATTTGTTTGTTGTAATCTTTGAAGTAATTGTTTTTGCCTTTGCTCTACCTCTGGACTGCGAGTTCAGTGCCTGGACTGTTAAGGCTGAGTAGATGTCTTTGTAGATACTGTATCTGGTTCTTTTTTTTTTTCTTTCTAATTTCATGACGTGATTTTTATTACTTTTTTTTTTCTTAAATTTTGCATTTGCTTTAATAAAAATCTGAAAATCCTACATGTGTATTCCTGTCCTTTCAAAAACAATCTGCAGTATGCCTTTGAAGCTCTTCAGTTTGTCTTTCTCATGCACTTAAAAATAAATGTATGGATCCATAATAAAAGGTAATTTAACACTAGCACTCATTTTATTTGTAGAAAAAAAGACACAGAAGCATAAGAAAGTATACAGAAAAAGAAATAAATATATTTTCCATATATGCATTAATACTATAAAAAAAAAAGTCCACAGCTATTTCCATATTCATAAACAATACAAAAACTTAGCAAAATGTTTCATGTTATGTTCTGAGAGGAAACTTAGGAGATATGAATTTCCTTTGTTGTAAAGCTTACAATTGTGGTAAATAATTAACAATGAATAAAAAAAAAAACTTATTAAATGGGGAAAAGTTTTTTTGTTTTTTTTACTTTATTTTTTTAGCATATCCTACATTTATCAGTTATATTTGTACTGATTAATTACTGTTCAAATCATTCATACCAATATTTGAGATGTCGCATATAAATTCTTCCATTTCAAGTTCATGACAAGTTCAAAAGACATAATTTAAAACTATTTTTTTTTTTTTTTGTACTAGCCAATACACAGGCTATGACTTTGAAAGAGAAAGTACTATAGAATGATTATGTTGTTATATACAAGTTGTCACAAAATTTACTATATAATCATGCACAACGTCCAGTACTTTGACTAATGAACATCAACACAAGTAAATGCCAGATCTTGTCATGTACATTCACAATTCCTAGCGAAAGAGAGGGGGTGGGGAGGGAAGAAAAAAAAAAAAAAAAAAAAAAAAAAAAAAAAAAAAAAAACTTAAAAAGGACCAAATCACATTATATTATATATAAATATCAATCAACCTGCTTGAATAATGGAAGAGTAAAACTCCTGAACAAATTCCTAAAAACAACATGGCATCAACATAATCACAATATAGTAGTCCATCCTTTCCATCTACTAAAAATCAAATATTCATGTTACATTAGTACTTCTCGTATGAATTTTTTGCATGGGAAAAATGTGATAATAATAATCATTATAATAATAAATACAGAAGATAAAATAGCCAAATTCTTTTGCATTTCCTCGCACAATTCCCTGTATGACAATTTTTGCACAACCAGTTTATGTTGAGAAAAAAAAAAGAAAAAGAAAATCCTTTTTACGAGATGGCAGTGAAGAGTTGTATATAGTTCAGGGCTGAAAATATACCACCACAGAAACATTTCAAGTATAAAGTTACTGACTACTTTTATACTGTTCTAAAAATTTCCTCCTACTAGACACTAGGAGTTAAAGAAAAAGTTTTTTTTCCAAGTTTCTTTTCTCATTTCAGTTAATATTCACGCAAGCAACTTTTCAACAATAAAAATGAAAAAGGAAGAGGAATTCCTTACTACACAAGAAAAAGTTTCTTTTCTCCTTTATTTTCACACTTGCTACTTCTTTTCCACGTGAAGCACGAAACTCCAAGTCTGAACCACAACATGACTGCGCTCTCCCACTGATTAATTATCTGTCGTCTCCATGGGGTCGTCATCGGCATCCATGTCATCTCCGTCGTCGTCCTGCGGGGGTCGCTCTGGGGGCTTCTCATACGCCTTCTCTAATGCAGACACTACGACGCCGTCCCAGACAGACATTTCGCTTGCTATACCTACAAGGAGAGTAAACCAAGTAAATAAGGTCAAATTATTCTGCTTAGACTGAGACCAGACTCAGTAATTGTCATAGTACACTACTGAATTTCCTTCTTCCCTGTATATCTAAGGGCTTGTTTACACAATCCTTTTCAGAGGAATGAATCAAAACCATTCCTCAAAATAGCTATCCTTCCCAGCACTGATGTAAGGGATCTGAATACAGACACGGCCATCTACTTGGATTCCTGCCACAACACACATATTTATGCAGACAATAAATATAATATATTAAGAAAACATAATACATAACAAGCCCACAGATAACAGCTATTCTCTAATATTAATGACTGTTGATATTAGCACATGCTGCATACATACCAATGTAAATATACTAACTGCATCCATACACTGCAGCTTATAGTTGTTATTGTAAAGATGAATCACAGTAATACAATATTTATCACAAATCACCCATACCTAGAAACACTCTACATGCTGAATGGTGGTTAAGAGTAAAGGCATTTATTCTCCAGTCTCTCTTCCTGAGTGAAACCAAACCACAGTTCTTACTTGAGTTGCCTTCGAGTCCAAGGATCTGTTTGTAGCCACCATGTGAAAGTACTCTTAGAAGAGTCTGGGCGGTGAGACATACAAGGTCTTGCTGTTCCAGAGTCATAGCTGTATGAACACGGATATTCCCTCCTTCACAGGGGTCACTGATACCTGGAAGTACACAAAACAAGCACTCCTTCCCATCCCTCCTTAACCTGTCAATGACGGTATCAGAAATATCTGGGTATCACTGACTCCAGTGATTTCTGGCAACCGTCCTGCTGTTTGGCCGTTGCAACACCTATGGCCATACCCGGCAGGATGAATGGGTTTGTTATTATGGCTATAGGCGTGGCCTAGCAGATATAGGTTAATACATGTCAAATGTATAAATAAGGGGCAAGTTACTTTTTTGTCTAACTGTCTTGTTCAGTTACTTATCAATAATTCTACAATACCTGTTAAATATAATGAAACGTTAAAAGTTTCTCAACAAATTATTACATAAAAGACTTTAAGAGAGGCCATAATAAAACCAAAGATCCATGCACTAACCTGCAGAGCCTGGTAAGAACAGCCCTGCTGCTAATAGCTGCAAACATCTGCGGAATGCAGAATTTATGGGCAAGGCCTGTCTGCTTGGGTTGTTCATAATAGCATAATGTGCCTGGAAAGAAAACAACAGATAAAATGGAAAGAAAATAAAAAATTTTAGTGAACAGATAAGGCCATCAACATAGAGTAACAGCATTGTTAGGAGTGAGTGATATGAAATTCATGCCTTGATTATTATGCCACTGAAGATTTTTTTTCCACCACCATTCTAAGCCACTCAAGCAATAAATTAGAAGCACAGGAAATACATTTCCCCAAGTAGGTGTCCATTTCCTTGAGGTAAACACAATCATTAAGTAAATAAGGCTAAAACTAGTCTTCATTTATTTAGTTTTGAGGGCTGTAGCTCCTGAACAGCCACACCCCAAGCCAAACATGCAAACTATTTAGGGTCACACAACTTAGAGTAGGTTGACCACATGTGGTGCGCATCCTTGCCAACCAGCATTTGGGCTAGGTTTGTTATGAAAAGAATGGATACACACTGTCAATGAGTCAAGATATAAAACGTGCACCACGATAGTTCCATTGCAACAAAAAAAAAAGTGGATGTGGCCCACTAGTCTCTTGTTCTCACTAACTTTTTGTAAATAATTATATTGTATGATGGGTGTGTTTATCTTTGTGCTATTTATTTGCATTTAAAAATCCTAATAAGAAATTTTCCTTTTCAATGGCTATTGGAATTCATTATTTTTTTTTACACTGTATTATTTTTAGCTTTACCTTCAAATACCTAAGTCATAAAAATTATAATCAAGGAAAAATACTTAACACTTCTTTTCTCCCAAAGAACCTGCAAGTAGTATTATTTTGAATAGATTATCACCCTTTTCAACTTCCTTACATGTCTCACAAACTGAATGTAGTAACAAGAGCTGGAAAACTACATTCTCCAATCTAGCACGGTCTAAGACAAGTCACCCAAATCATCTCACCAGGAGGTCCAGCATCCACGGCGACAGAGGCTCAAACCCTTCGAAGCGTCCGCGCAGATCCCGCAGTAATCGAATAAGTACTTTAATTGTGGAGTGGTGTGCATTCTCCTCAAACCAGCGGCTGAGGGGCAGAGAGAAAGAGAAAGGGTTAAAATCAGATGAAGAAAAATCAAATTACACTAATGGCATGGCCCTGCTTTCCCATGCTTGACTAAATCTGAAGTATTCAAGTATTATAATCTTTAATCCCTCATTAGAAATGTCTCAGCATCATAGGCTTCCCGCTCATGCATACAGCCGTACACCGCAGATCACGCAGTTTGCACTATATACATGACCCGGCAGTAACGGGTTAATTTTTTTTTCTAATAAAACATCTGACTTTCCGATTTCAAATAACCTTTCAGCAGGCACAACCATTCAACAAATATCCAAGAAATAATTTCTCCTCTACCTCAAACGATTTTGCTTACTTAAAAAACATATAAATCCGCTATAAAATAATCCTTATGAACTCACGTCATATTACCCTTTAAATAAAAATCATAATAGAAATAAGCTATGATGTCAACCATCAGAGGCTTTCTCACCTGTGTCTAATCGCTGCTAGGTGTGACTGGAGGATCTTCTGGTCGAGGTGCAGCTCAGGATCCAGTTTGCGCAGGTTCTGGTGGATGGTGGTCACTAGGACACGCACTGTGGCCTCACTGTTGCTGATCTCGAAGCCTCGGTCATCTGGGAGCATTGTGAGGACGAGCACTGCAGGTTTAGGTTAGTCTCACATTAGGGAGAGGTGTATGTGAATGTATAAAATCGTATGTTGATAGAGGAGGAGGAGGAGAGGAGCGACAGAGGAGGTGTGCAAGGGAGGAGGAAGAAGAGGAAAAAACAGGAGAAGTGTGAAGAGGAACCGAAACAACAGGTGGAGGAGAAAGAGCAGGAAGGGAGTGACAGACGTGTGCAAAGGGACATAGAAAAGAGGGAGGAGGAAGAAAATAAAAAAAAAAAGAGGAGGAAGAAGACCGTGACGAAATGGAAGGAGGAGAGGGAAAGAAAGAGGAACAAGAGAGAGAAAAAAGGAAAAAAAAAATAGGGGGAGAGGAGAAGACAAGAGACTTACAAGAGGAAGA